TCCTCCAGCTCCCGAGACACTTCTGCCCGCTGCTTCTCCACCTTGGCTCTGGCAGCGCGTTCAGCCTCCAGCTCCTCCTCCAGCTCCTCAATGCGGGCCTGCAAGAGACAGAATCATACAATCATGGAACGGTTTGGGTTGGAAAAGACCTTAAAATCATCCAGTTCCAACCCCCTGCCATGTGCAGATATCCCCTTCCGATATTGGAAGGGGGCCTACAAGGATGCTGGAGAGGCACTCTTCATCAGGGACTGTTGCGACAGGACAAGGGGTAATAAGGCAGATGTTCTAAGATGCTCCAGGTTTCATCAGCATCTTTGCTCTCCACAGCAGAGCAAGGTGAGTCCTCTGCTGCTGGGGAACAAGCAGCCACCAGCCTGGAGCAAAGGCCTGGGCTGGGTTGGGTTCTCAGAGGCAGACGTGTGTGGTGCTCCCTGGCTGTGTGTTTTGCAGAGCTCCTGCTCTCGTCTACATCCTGCCATCAGAATCCAGGCTGATATTGCTTCTTTTCAGTGGGAACCTCCATGCTGTAATCTGGGGCCCTCTCTGATAGGAAGAAGCCCAACATACTAGGTTTGGATCTTCAGTTTGGGCACTGGGTTTAAGGTTTTAATCTGAACAGAGAACTACATCGTAGAAGCTGTTCCTCCTGTTGGTGCTATCATTCACCTCAATAGTTCATTCTTTAATGAACTTCTTTTCAACCCATCATATTTTGGCAGAGGCTTTGCTTTTTTCATCACTCTTCTGCCTAGGAGATGTCCCTGTGTTCAGAGAGGGTCTAGCCCATACAGATTCCCCATCACATGTAATGAAACAGAGGACTGCTAGGCTGTGAGAACAGTTCTTCCTACCATACCTGGAGCTCCTTGATCTTCTTCTGCAGCTGGGCCTCTGTCACTTGCCCATCTTCAATCCTTGAATTCAGCTGACTCATTTCAAAGTCTTTCCTGTACAGAAAGAAGGCAGAGCCCCTGGTCAGACAAACACTGTCCTCCCAAGTCCCTCTGGCTCCTGAAGCCACAGGAAGATTGTTCCCTGAATTGTAACACCCAGGTCCAGAGGATAAACAAACCCCCACAGGAAAGAGACCACAGGGGTAAGAAGCTGCTCATGGACTACTCTGAGTGAGGGTTGGAGAGGCCAAACTGGCACATTCAAAGCCCCATCCCAGCAGCTCCTGCAGAGGCCACACATCCACTTGGCCCAGAGGTGGGCACTGGCCTGGCAGAGTAAGCACAGAGCCCAGGCACAGATCACACACTCACTTCTTGAGTTTCTCCTCCAGCTGCTGTTTGTCATTCTCCAGATCCATTACAGACTCTTGGGTCAACTTCAGGTCTCCTTCAAGTTTCCTCTTTGCTCTTTCCAGGTCCATGCGGACTTTCTTCTCTTGTTCAAGAGAGCTTTCCAGCTGGAGAATGAAGGGTGACAGGGTAGGGAAGGAAAGGATCCATTGCAGCCCCAATGTCCCCATGTCCATTGCTGTGGGAACTTCACCCAGCCCTGAGAGCCAGAGCTCTTTCCTGCTTGGTCTCCAGTGCTCTAGATCACGTCTTGGTTCAGGGCCAGTTTGCTAATGGGGATGTTCACCAACTGCCCATATTAAATGGGGATCTGATAATGATCCCACTCTCCAGACCCCATCAGGGACAACCTGGATGTGTGACTCAAACCTCTCTCACTTCACTGTCTGTGACTCACATCATCCACTTGCTGCTCCAGTTTGACCTTGGCTTTTGTCAGTGTGTTGACTTTGTCTTCCTCAGCCTGCAGGTCATCCAGGGCCTGCTGATGGGCCTCTTGCAGTGCTTTCTTCTCTTTTGTCAGCTTGGCAATGATCTCATCCAGAGCAGCCATCTCTTCAATCAGGTTTTTAACCTAGAACAGGGAGGTCAACTGAGCACATCTTCTTAGGGAGAGGGATGCTGAGCTAATACCCATAAGAGGCTCCCACAAACCAGCAACCTTGTCCCTGATGTTTCTCTTTGGCACCTCCACAAGCTCTGAGGCCCCAGAGCAATGAGGCTGTGCTCTGCAGGGAGGTCACTCACCTTGTTCTCCGTGGCATGCTTCTCCTTCTCCACCTTGGCCAGCGTGATCTCCAGGTCATCAATGTCTTTCTTCAGCTCTGCACACTCATCCTCCAGCTTGCGCTTCTTGGCGGTGAGGTCTGAGTTCATCTCCTCCTCATCCTCCAGACGCTCTGTCAGCTCCTTCACCTTGGCCTCCAGCTGGATCTTGGACTTGATCAGCAGGTCGCAGCGTTCCTCTGCATCTGCCAGGTTGTCTTGCTCCTGGGACAGGCACAGGAGAGCCAGCACTCACCCGCTGCCCCAGGAGCACACCTGCAGGCTCTCAGCCATGCTACCCTGGCCAGAGCTGAAGCTCTCCTCGTGGAAGGGGTAGAGCAAGCCTGAGGTGCTCAGGTGGACAAAACCAGACAGCGCTGTTTATAAGGTCCATGGGACAACCACTGACACTAAACAGGGCCAAAGAGCTAACAGCAACTGAATCTTTCCAGAGGATGGAGACACTGGAAGACACTTCCTGGCATAGGAACAGCACAGATCAGCCACAGCTGGTGAGCAAACACTATCATCTCCCCATCCCCTTGTGAGGAGATCACCCTTCCCACGCCAGGGGAGCACTAATCCCCATGGCAGCTCTAAGATGGCAAGTCTGTGATGATGCTTCAGGTTTGCACCGAGTCTAACATGAGGGGGTCTCAAAACTGCAAGAAGCTGGAGAAGGGACCTAGGATGCTCTGCTGCTTCTAACCATGGACCCTGCACTATCTTTACACTGCCAGAGAGGGGGTGAGGCACTCACTGCCTGCAGCTGGAGAGTCAGGTCGTTCTTCTCCTGGATCATGGAGACCTGCTTCTCTTCCAGCTCCTTTCTCTTAGCCTCGGACTTCTCCAGAGCTTCCTTCAGCTTCTGGAACTCCTCCTTCAGGTTGGACATTTCCTTCTCAGTCTGAGCAGACTTGAGTAAAGGCTTGATCTTGAAGAACAGCTTCATCCAGGACCAGTTCTTGACAGCATTGAAGGCCCGGATGTTCCACTGGATGGTATAGAGGGCTTCCCTGGAGGGACATAAGCAGAGCATCATCACAGGTGTAGATTCTCCACGTCCCACCCCTACTGCAGCAGAGACCTGGCATTTGCAGGCCTGGACATGGCTCTATTCTCCATCACTATGGAAGTATGCTGAATGAATGGCACATTGTTTGCACACATAATGGCCCTAGTGGGATGGGTGGTGTGGCCTGGCTTTCAGGTCCCTTCACCCTGCATCCCTCTGAATCTTCCAGTGGAAACCAAAGGCTTCCCCCACCCAGATACACTGAGCCTCCCTGCCAAGCCCATGCCTGACCTCTCACAGGTCTGCCTCCAGCCCTTCAGGACAGGGCTTTACCCAACCACTGCCCCAAACCCACTCAAATGTGCAAAGGAACAAGGAGACACACAAAGTTCTGCCGCTCCCCCAGCCCCAGCTCTACCTCCTGCTGATGATCTTCTGATACTCGATGCGCATGAGGTGCCCGCGGATTCTGGCCTGCAGCATGGTCAGGATCTTGGCCAGACGCTCATCCCGCATCTCCTCCAGCAAGCCCAGCAAACCAGCCTTGAAAAACACCTGCAGGCAGCAGAGGGAGAGCAGGGTCAGAGCAGAGAGGGCAGAGGGCTCAGGGGTAACATCACCCACCAGGCAGAGCTGACCTGTGGCCAAAGCAGGGCCACACAGAGCAGCGAGGGCTGCACACTGCAGGTTCAGTGCCCTCCCTACTCTGCACTGGTTGAAGGGGCACCTACACAAGGCACCACTGAGCACCAGAGCTCCCTGCCCTGAGTGGACACCAGCTCTGTGTTGGGTGGCATGAGGTCAGGCAGCAGTGACCTGCTTAGACCTGTTTCTTCCAAGCCTGCATCTTCTCTGCCCCTTCAAAGGCCACAGGCAACCTGCAGAATGCCCGGATGCAGCAGGGCTGTGGCCAGGCAGAGAGCAAGCTGGGCATGGAGAGCAAACTGGGACTGCAGAGACAGGAAGGACAATGTCCCTACACCAGCTGCCTGGTCTCACCTTGGTATGACCAAACTTGTACTGAGAGTGGTCCAGTTCCAGGGAGCTCAACAGCTTCTCTGTGGCCTTTCTGCTGTCCACAAACTTGTCATCTGGAATGGCTGTTGGATTCAGGATACGGTAGCTGCAGGGACAAAGCAGAGGAGGACATGCAGGAGACACTCCAGAACAGAGTCGATGGTTCTATCATCATCCCTGTACCCCAGTCATGCCAGTTCCCTCTAGAAGTACATTGCTGCTGCACAGGCTGGACCCATGTATGAACCAATTGCTCCAGGGCACTGTATGGGCTGTTCTGCAGAGCAGACACCAGGGAACCCTGACAGATCTTAGTGCCTGAACACAAGGAGGACTATGCAGGAAGAGGCCAGTGGTGGATGGGCCCAGGTGGAGAGCAGTAAGGAACCCAAGGGCAGAGAGAAATGGACCTGAGCCTTGCCATCATCTACTTGCACCAGCCCTGCATTCCAAACATCACCAGCCCTACTGCCTCCTCATGTCTGGCACCAAACTCTCCATGTCTGGCAGCACAGAGCAGCAGCAGAGCTATCTCACACCACACATGCACTGGGATTGTGGTGGTGGCTCAGACCAGCCCCACACAAGCAGGTCAGAGCCAGGGCAAGTCTGTGTCCCCTCAGAACACATGTGGGTTGCAAGGAAGAGGAGAGAGTTACCGCTGCTTGAAGTCTGCGTAGAGGATCCTGTTGGGGAACCCTTTACGGCAGATGCGGATACCTTCAAGGACACCATTACAGCGCAGCTGGTGCAGCACCAGGAAGGCATCCATGGCTCCTGGGGGTGAGAACAAGATGGAGCAGACACTTAGCCCAAGTGGACAAGGGAAATGGAGCTGCAGCATGGATCTGAACCCTGGACACAGCCCATGGCTTTGAATGAGGGTGTTAATCGGTGCTGCAGCCTGGGCCTCGGGTGGTGGAAGTCAGTGAGCCTGAAAGACTCTGCTGTGCCTGCTGTCATGCACAGGGCAGCCCAACCATCAAGGCACAGCCAAAGTGGGAGCCTGGCAGAACTCATTCTCCCCAGTAGAGGAGACTGGTGTGGGTCACAGAGGTTTCCACACTGAGATGGGGCTTGGTGTCAGTGGCAGCAGAACTGCTGCAAGACAAGGGTTGGAGAGAAGGGGAGTGCCAGAGTCCTTCCAGCTCCTACATGTGGATGTCACCCAAGGGAATTCCCTGGGTGCTGTCTCAGTCCACACTTACCCGGGGTCTTTGTCTCATTGGGGATGATGCAGCGGACAAAGTGGGGCTGAGTGGAGCGCAGGTTGGTCATCAGCTTGTTGAGGTTCTCCTGTGGGGCAGAGACAGGGGATGAGGCACGGGGTGACAGCTCTGCTCCCCTACAACACTTCTCTGCAGCCCTCTCCTTCCCCCACAGGCAGGGAAGAGCAAATGCTGAGAGTCCCTTACCACTCTTCATGGGAAAGGAGGAATTTCCTCCTGCTCCCTGCACTATCCTGCCAACAGGACATCCCCAGCCCTATAGCAGGACCACTGCATCCTGCCAGGGGCAGAGCAATGGCAGAGGGGACCGGGAGCTTCCTCAGTGTTTGCAGGTAAAGATTTGCTGCAGGGAACTGCCAGGACCACAGCACTGAGCATATCCTGGTAAACGGCTCTGCTGGTGTCACCAACACTGCGCTCAGCATCCTCCTGATCATCCACACTGGCATCCACACTGCCTGCAGCCCTCAGCTCATCAGGTTTCCCCTGCACTTCCACAGTGCTTTCCATAGCCTTTGGCCACAACAGAGGGCCCTGCCAATCCAGCCTGGGCCTCCTTTCCTGTCCAAGGCAGGGCTGAAGCCAAGACTTGGCCCTGTCTTTTCCTATGGGAAAGGCATCTGCACCCTCAATCTTTGCAGGCTGCCTTCCCCTGCTCGTACAGGCTCAGCCTGCTGGTGAACACCTTCCCACAGCTCCACCTCACCATCGGGCAACTTCTTGCCACAGATACCTTTCCCCAAGGCTCGTGACTTGTCCAGGAGGGGGAAAGTCACACATCTCCCTGCTGGGGGCTCAGACACCAGCACTGCCCTCTGCAAGCACCCTGTCACCCCAGGGCTGTCAGAGCAGGACACAGCATTGGGCTCACACCTCCCTCTGTGCTGTTTTCCAGTGGCTTAAGCTCTGGGGTGGACAAGTAACTTCTGTGGTGAGCATGGGGTGTCATCCTGAGCTGTGAAAGAGCTCAGGTCACCTCCTGCACAGGACAGCAGCGAGGTGCCTGCTCAGAGACCTGCAAGATCCTCCTCCATTTTCTTCTGCCCAAAGGCTGTCCTTCCCGCTGACAAGAATGAGGAGAGAAGTAGCACAGACTTAAAGTGATGTTCATGTAATACATCACCTAAACATCACTACAAGTCTTAACTGCCGCTCTCTCAAAGGCGAAGGAGCTGTGAGCAGCATGTGAGCAAGCATGACGTGGGCAGAAGCAGCACAAGCCAAAGGGAGCCACTGCTCTCCCAGCCTGGAGCTCCATGTCCCTCCCTAGAGCAGGGGGAGAGGGCTGGGACTCTGCAAGGCACTGGCCCCTTGCACAGGGATGAGAGGGTGTCAGGAGCTTTTGCTCCTTCAGGAGCTCTGGTGGTCCCTCAGGTGCAAGATACCCCAGAGTCTTGGCAGGGGAGTGGGATGACACGGGGACACTCAGAGCATGCTTCCCTATGGCCCTATGAGGGACTGGCTCTTACCTTGTGCAGCTGAGACACTGTTTGGAAAGAAGCTGCCTTTTTACGTTTCTCCTTGGTCCCTGGCTTGTGAGGTTCCTCTGTTGGGTTGAAATATTGATTCGTTACATCAGCACAACATCTGCTTGGCTTGGAGGACACAGGAGCACCCCCAAACACTTTTGAAACACACACAGGCCCTGCTCTCTGTAGTAGTGCCCTGCTGCAGAGCAAAGCCACAGACCAGAAACATCTCCCACAGCACCCAACTCTGGGTGTTGCTCCTCATATCTTGGTAACAACAGATCCCTTCACACATCTCAGGTCACAGGGCCACCAGGACAGTTCTTTAAGCACCACACAAGCTCAGCCTAGTCCTAACCCCCTAAAAGCCCTTAGGCCAGCACTGTATCTCCAGAGCACCCACCTACCCAGGTCAGAGAGATTTTAGGGGTCAGTGTGGCTCTTCCCTTTGCCTGGGCTGCTAGGTGCAGGAATACTACACCAACAGGCTGTGAGGGTGAGGAGGTTTTGCTGCAAAGGGAGGGGAGATCGAGCTCAAGAAATGGTTGAGGTTGTTCCTCACCTGAAGATGAGCCCACATAGTTCTCATAGAGGGAAGCCAGGAGCTTGTTTTGGGATTTTTGGAAGACAGACACCACTGTCTCATTCAGGGGGTCCTTGTTCTTGTCCAGCCACCCAATGATGTTGTACGGCACCTTTCAGAGAGAGAAGAGGCAAAGGTAAGGACGGTGCTCCCGGGGGATGGGGGGGTGCTGTGCAGGCTGCCCGGGACGTACCACACCAGCGTAGTGCACCAGCTCAAAGTGCGCCTCATACTTCCGCTTTTTATCCGGCCGGGGCTTCTGGAAGTTGGGTGACTTCCCAAGGTGGTTGTCATAGAGCTTAGCTTTGAACGACATGTCGGAGGCTTTTGGGAACATGCACTCCTCTTCAAGGATGGACAGGATTCCCAGTGGCTGCAGGGAGAAGGGGGTATAAAGAAGTCTGAGCTCAGCCTTGCCATAGCCCATCCCAGAATGGGGGATTCCCTCTGCCACTGAGCAAAGCTTGACCTGGGAGACCTCATCCTCTTTAAGGCAAACGGTGCAAGACGTTGACTATGGGACAAGCTATCGCTGGTGCATTCCAGGCTGCATCTGACCTCCAGCCAGTCAGAGTGGGACCAGCCAAGCCTGCAAGACTTGGGGGCTTGCCCAGGTCCATCAGGCTGTGGGAAGGGGAGATCCTCTCCACTACCCTGATAGGTGAGCTCCTTTCCACTGAAAGAGGTGAGTTTCTGCCATGCAGTGGTAGAAATCTTTTCTACAAGCTGCTCTGAATCAGCAAGTACTTAGTAGGAGGCTCTGAGTGGCAGCAAGTGGGTAGGAATATGGGGCAGAGATCGCTGTTCTCTGGAGGCAAAGGCTGCACTAGGTTTTGTGGCTCACCAGTGGGTAGGAACAGAATGTCTGTGGTTTCATGAAGTCAAGATTTGTGTCAAAGGGACTCAGTGGGCTGGAAGCTCCAGGTAAGTGTGGGGAAAACAAAGCTGGGCACTTCCCAGTGGCTCGGGAGGGAATCATTCCGTCTCTAGTAGCAGAGCACCTCCAGGCTTTGCAAACAAGCCTCCTACCAGAAGTATCATTCCTGTGCCCTGACTCGTGCTTTACCTTCTCAATTAGGTCAATGCAAGCCTGCAGGTCCAGGCCAAAGTCAATGAAGACCCATTCAATGCCTTCCTTTTTGTATTCTTCTTGCTCCAGGACAAACATGTGGTGGTTGAAGAACTGCTGCAGCTTCTCGTTGGTGAAGTTGATGCAGAGCTGCTCAAAGCTGTTGAACTGTCAGAACAAAACAAATCTGCATCAGAAGGAGCCTCAGACGTGAAGGGATTCACTCTTCTGCTTCGTCTGGGTGTGAGGAGTGATCTCTGCTAGGCTCAGCTGGACTGCTACCAGAGCAGGTAGCCAGGAATCACTGGAGATGTGCCCACAGCAGTGTGAGCTGCCTGTTAGCTCCAGACAGATTAATTCAGACAAGAGCTCATTTTCCTATCAAGGCAGTTTCTTGGAGGAGGTGGAGCTGTCAAACACCAGGGGACTGAGCTGTCTGGCTACAACATCCCCCTAGTCCCATTGCAGGGGGCCTGCAGAACTCACGTCAAAGATCTCGAAGCCTGCAATGTCCAGTACTCCGATGAAGAACTGCCTGGCCAGCTTGGTGTCCAGGGTCTTATTGATGCGAGTCACCAGCCACTTGAACATGCGGTCATAGGTGGCTTTAGCCAGGGCTCCCACCGCATAGACAACCTGCCAAAGCACATCACAGAGCAGGCCATGAGCGCTGATCCTTCTCCCTGCTTTTGTAGGAGCCAGAGGCTGAAGAAGAGAGCTCCTCTGGGCACACAAAGGACAGACCCAGGGATCTCATGGTTACTGAGGCACACTCACCTGCTCCACGTTCTGACCTTTGGTCACATACTCATTGCCCACTTTCACGCGAGGATGGAGCAAGCCCTTGATGAGGTCAGCTGAGCTGATTCCCATCAGGTAGGCAGCTTTGTCAGCACCTGTAAAGCAGCACAAAGGCGTGAGGAGCCAGCATGAGGAGCCAGCATGAGGAGCCAGCGAGGAAGCCCCAGAAAGGAAAAAAGACAATAAATAAAACTTCCCAGCTCGCCTGTTGCTCAGTGCTCACTATACATGTTTTCCCACCTTCTCTAGAGTCTCCTCCAGTGTCTGGTGTGATTTTCCCATCCTGGGTATTGTATGATGCTTTCAAAGTCTGACCTCCTGCCTAAGAAGTTACTGTTTGGAGGAGATGGCTGTAGCAGACCTGCTGCACCTTACCAGGTTTTCAAGCCTTATCTGGGAATCTCTATGCAATTTCCAGTGGAAGCCTGGATTCCCATGCAGTGAATCTGAAGTGACCAGAAAAGAGGTGATGTTCTTGCTTATAGACTCCTGACAGCAGACTTCAGCTGGAAAATCACCTCTGCAGGAAATCACTGCTAAAGCAAAACCCTCAGTAAAGACCAGGCAGCAGGTGAATCCTGTGCTGACATTCCTCAGGCAAGGGGAACTCTTTCTTCATGGACATTAGCATGAAGGTCTGATCCAGGTAGTCACTCAGCTTAAGTATAGTGACTGCTGAAGCCCTCCAGTTAAGTGATAGGGTTCCCCCTTCTCATCCTTCCTCGAAGCTTGCTCCGTTATATGGGAACCAGGCATAACGCAGCAGTGCAAAAGCAACAGAAGGTATTTGAGCTCTGCCTGAATTTCCAGGTTTGATTTTCAGCCTGACCATTCTCTTAGACCTCTGATTTGCACTGGATTTTCCTAAGCAACAATCAAGGAGAAGTATTAGACAGTGGCTGTATCCTACTCTAACTGCTCTTCAGGAGGCTGTGTCTCAAGCAGGTCCCTGCAGTCCTGACCATGGCCTGGCTCATGCCCTGTGGATGACCTGCTCTGGGAAGCTGTCAGTGCCAGAGAAGAGGTGATGAAGGACAGCAGAAGACTGAACAAGGTGAATCACAGCCAGGGTGTGACAGCCTGTGGTGCTGCTGAGGAAGGTCTGATGCAGATGAGACCACCTACCACTTGTAGAAAAGCTGGTCTCATCTATGCCCTAAGTCTGCCAGTTCAAAGACCAGCCCCTTTGTGCACCTACAGCAGGACCTAAGCCCGTGTGCTTGCCTGGGATAACAGCCACCGACCTTCACAGACCAGGCCAGGGAAGTTACCACACTCTGCCCCTGGAGGATCTGTGTGCCCAGGCCAGGCTGGGCAGAGCTGGCAGCGTGGAGCCAAACTCACTTTCAGTGCCGTCAGCCTCTGCCTGCTCTTCCCGCTGCTTCTGCTTGAACTTCATGTTGCCAAAGTGCATGATAGCACCCACTATTTTATAGGAGCCGTATTTCTCATCATTGCTGAAGCCCAAGATGTCCATGGCGTGCTGAGGAGAGACAAAGCAGTGTAGATTGAACAACATCACCACTCTGAGGTGAGGTCTCCTAAGGTGCTCTCCCTATCCTGGGGCTCTGGGCGGGGTACTGTATCCAGTGCACATCTAGCTGAGGAATCCTGTCCATGGGATTTTGAATGTGAGGCCAGCTCCCACCAGACCCATCTGAAAGCAAAAAGACTAGCCTAGCATCCACAAGCAGGAGGTTTTCCAGGCTGAGCTCTCATCTTCTCCTGGGAGCATGGGAAGTGCTCATGTGCTACAGAGCCTTCCTAATGCAGGGAATTACTCTCACTTCTCTGCCTTGATGAGTCTGTTGATGGAGATCAGTCACTTTGCTCTTTCTTTGTAAGCTCACAGCATGTGTAGGGCAACTGCCAATAAACCAGAGGGAACTCACAGCTAATTTAGAGAGGGACATAGAAAAGCCATGTCCCCATGTCCTGGGGGGTTGTGAAGAGGTTGTGCACTCCCCTGGCTCGGGCTGTGCAGTGGGAAGGAAGTTCACGTACATCTGTTGCCATGAGTTCCTCGCCATCATCCATGTTGTCCACCGTAGTTACACCCTGAGAGCAGAAGTGGTAGTCGTAGGGGTTGAGGGAGAGCAGCAGCATATCTGTTGGGGGAAGACATGCAGAGGATGAGGCCAGTCTGACAGAGACAAAGCTGGGGCAGAGGGGCAACACTGGGCACAGATGAAGAGGTAAGGCTTCACCAGCTCTACTAGAGGGCACCAGCCAGTGGGAGGAACACCCTCTTCAAGCCCAGACAGGTCCACACGTGGGTCCATCTCTTCTGTGATGTGCCTCCTGCTTGCTATCTTGGGACATGGCTTGGCTGCAGACTGATATAGAAGTGGCCATCCATGTCCTCGTGACCACCAGATAAGATTACTGCTCCACACAGTGCTCCACACCTGCCTAATAAGGTCTTGTCCTTGAGCTCAGGAGCCCGCAGCCGAGGGGCTGACCACCCCAGGGACTGTGCCAGCATCTTCCTGCACTGTGGAGAGGGTTCTGTGCACTCCATGGGGCCTGGCACCTGAGAGCAGGGCTGCTCAAAGCACAGGACTGCCCCAGGGCAAGCTCTCATCCATTGGGACTGTCCTAGGACATGTCTACAGCAGCCAGTGAGCTGTGTAGCTGTTTCCAAGCTCACCTGGAACAAGTCACCTCACTCGGGTGGCTGAAGGAGCTCAGAGTAGGCTGCAAAACACTTCCCCCTACCCTGAAATGAGTAAGAATCCACCCTGCACATGGTGAGGTTGGTGTTGTACCCACTATATGACAAGGACTCAAAGCAAGGCAGCTTTGCAAAGTGTGCTCCCACCCTGCAGATAGACCCAAAGCAACTTCTGCTCCTAGACAGTTGCAGGAAGGGCTTTAGTCTGGCTTCTCTGGGAGGATAAAAGAGGCTGGAGCAGGTGGCCTCTTGAAACCCCTTCCACCCTGAATTATCCACCAATCCTACAATCCTGCGCAGCTAACAAGGCATCTGAGGGCAGTACTTGCACAGTGAGCTGGGTTTGCTCATTCCCTGTGGACCCCAAATCTAATACAGAGCCCTTTCTGGCTGTTTTCAGGCTGTCATGCTATAAAGCTTTGGCTGCCTTACCTTGCAGCTCTGGTTTCTTCCCAGAGAGGATCTGGTAGTAGATGTGGTAGCTCCGCTCTTTGGGCTGCTGGAAAATCACTCTTGATTTTTCCAGAAGATCTAGAACCAAGCAGGGCAGCAGGGTCAGAGGAGGGATTGTGCCCAGCCCTGGCACACATGGGAAGGTGTGATCCCTCCCCAGTGCAGCGGGCACAGCTTTACTCACAGATGTCAATGTCTGCGGAGGCCAGCTTCCCCGAGGGGCCGAAATGGATCCGGATGAACTTGCCCTGGAAACACGCGCAGGAGGTAAGTGCTGGGCTTGGCGACACACTTAAACAGCTCCCAGAAACCTCAGACAACTACAAGGCATTGTTAATTTCCCACTTCTTAGGCTTCTCCTGATGCCAGGCAAGTTACTGGGCCCGGTGAGGGGCGTGTGGGTGAAGTTCTCTGGTTTGTATCATCAGCGTCACCTCAGGCTTTGAACACCAGGCAGGCAGAGATTTCACCCACAGCAGATAAATCCCTGTCATAGAATCACTACAGAATCCCAGACTGGTTTGTGTTGGAAGGGACCTTAAAGCTCATCCAGTCCCAGCCCCCTGCCACGGGCAGGGACACCTTCCACTAGAGCAGGTTGCTCCAAGCCCCTGTGTCCAACCTGGCCTTGAACACTGCCAGGGATGGGGCAGCCACAGCTTCTCTGGGCACCCTGTGCCAGCGCCTCAGCACCCTCACAGGGAAGAGCTTCTGCCTCAGAGCTCATCTCAATCTCCCCTCTGGCAGGTTCAAGCCATTCCCTTTGTCCTGTCCCTACAGGCCCTTGTGCAAAGCCCCTCTCCAGGTTTAGGAACAGCCCTGTTCTTAAAGCTGAGCAGTTCTGTGGGGCAGTGTGACACTGAGTCTGCTCCAGCCTCCTGCTCCGTGATGTGCTGAGGAATCTCACCCAGGAGTGTCTCCCTTCTACCAAGGCACAGGAACAGGCATCACAGTATCCCACAGCACACCAAGGCTGGGCTTAGCAGAAGAGATGCTGCTCCCTGGAAGGGGCACACAGTACGCCAGGCTGTGCTTACTGGCCCGCTCAGCTTTGCTCCTGTAAGGGACTTCTCTGCAGCCACTGTGACACCAAGGCATTCATTCTGCACACCATTTACTGCACTGGTGTAACCAGAAGAAGCCTGGCCTCAGCAGTCCAGTCCCACCAGGAAGCAGAGCCTCCTGCCTGCTCCATGCCTTTGGCTCACACCATACAGAACACAGTGGCACAAGTGATGCATTCAGCTTGCGTGAACACAGCACGTTAGCTCTCTGTCTTGCTCAAGACACTTACAAAACGCGAGGAGTTGTCATTTCTTATGGTTTTGGCATTGCCAAAAGCTTCCATAGCTGGGTTAGCCTCAATGATTTGATCTTCGAGGGTGCCCTGCAAAACAAACCCAAAGGATGCGTCAGCTCCCACCCAGCCAGAGGGGATCTGTTACCAACAACACAGGGAAACAGTGAGCCGGGCTTCTTGCACCATCTGCCTGCTCTGCCCTTTAGCTGTCTTGAAGAGCCTGCTGCTCCTCAGGCATCTCTTTGTCTCACGAAGCAATGCAGATGGTTTAGAGGTCAGCGGAGCTAGGCTTTGCAGCAATGCTCTCTGTGGGCTTCTCCTTGCCTAAACTGGTCTCTCTGAAGACCCAGGCTACTGTCCTCTCTGCACACAGCAGTCCTTAGCCCCTTTCTTAGGCTGCTACAATATGCAAACCAAGAGCAAGCACGCGTTGTCACCACAACAGCCTGTAACATTTCAGGCTCTGACTCTGACAGGCTTTTCCTCTTTCACCAAACTTTAGTCTGGGACAGTTTAAGTCACAGAACATTGCAGAAGTGACACAGAAAACAGGCTTGATCTATGACTCGTGCACTAACAACGTGCACAGCAGGGTCACAGTGTGATGGAAGCACACCACTGGTCCCAGTCAATGCGATCTGCTGGACTCACTGGAGCTCTCCTGAGCAAGCCCCAGAATTAACCTCGTCTTTCCATTCATATTTCACATCACAGTTCAAAGATGAAGAGGCAGCCTCCACCTAATGCAGGCAAAGCAGGACGAGAATTCAAGGAGAGAACCAAGCCACACAGAGGACAGTGGAGTCTGACAACAGCAGTAGAGTTTGGTGGCACAGGCTCCTGCAGGATCTTTCAGAAACACTTTATGGCCATGCTCTAACACATTCCACAGGGCTTTCCCTGGACAGGAAACACCAGCTCTGAACTCTGCCCACCAAGAGCTGTGCTGGGCCCATCACTGCTCCCCAGCTCAGCAGCTCCAGCTGTGTGGAGGGTAAAGAGACAGGGAGCAGCTGTGAATCACAGCTTTAATCAACTGCACTTTGTGTCTGGGATAGCCTCCAATCTGTTATCCTTAAATCCAGCGTGTTCTAAAGCTGCCTGGCCTGTGAGACTCAATGGGGGCTGCCCCATGGGCCACCCTGAGACCCACAGCTCCAGCCCTCCAGCGATCTCACTTTTAGGAAGTTTGCCCAAGTGGCCCTAGACTCATGTATTTATGAGCCTCCCTTTAGTGTGCACCAGATAAAGGCTGTCCCTCCGTGCTCAGACATAGAAGCTGAGGACCAAGGACGTAGGGCTGAGCCCTCGAGGTGCTGGCAGTGCCAGAGACTGAACCATTGCTGGATTTCCAAAGGAACCCAGTTGTTTCCTTGGAGCTAAGCAAGCACCTCAGAAATGCACCCCAGAGAAGGACATAAACTGCCTGCAACATGGAGAGGTGAGCCAGTTCGGGTCTTTGCAGAGGATGGCATGTCCAGGCATCATGAGAACCCAGGTCTGAAGCCAAAGCACAATGCTGCCCATGGCAAAGAGGCTCTTCCCCTGCTCCTCAGCACCACCACCCTCAGCTGGGCTTTGAGGCTTGGGGGAACACCAACAGCTCAGAGAGTGGAGGCTTCACCTTCTCTTTGGAGGAGCCCACACCACCCCCAGGCAACACATTGCTGGGTAAAACCAGCGTTTGAAAAGCAATGATCCCTTAAAGGAGAGGTTGGAGCCAAAAAGGTAGAAAGTCACTAAGGTATGAAACACCAAAGCTTCAAACTATGGGAAGGTGGGAGATAGATACAAAGCTAAGTGGAGAACTGAAGACTGCCCCTGCTCCCATGGTGAGGCCCCACACAGGCATTCCTCATCACCCATTGCTCTGTGGCACAGCAGAACTCTGTCCTCAGCATTAAAGATTAGGAGTCTACAACACTTACCCCAGTTTTAGTGGCAAGAGCTGCCTAGAGAAAGAAAAGAAAATGGTCTTTAGCAATCCAGAAAAGGCAGGCAAGAACCACAAGAAGCATGGTCAGAAAAGCAGGGCATGACCATTTAGTGCCAAAAAACCGTCCAAGAAGAAAAATGGGAGGATTAAACTTTGTAAGAGATGCCAAAAAGTTGTTAAATAGATTAGCTCAAGAAAATAAAGAAATGCACCAAAAAGCAAGAACGGTTAAATCCAAACCCAAAGAAGAGTAAAGAAAATAATGCTGAGGTATTGCTCGACTGATACCTAACGCAGCCAGTTTGCTTCTAGAGGGGAAAAGCAGGCTCGAGCCTCAATGTATCAAGAAGAAATAAGCACTTGCAAAGGCAGCTCAAAAATAACCAGCACCAAAGAAATGCAAGAATCAAAACAAGAGCAAGAAAAGCACAAGGTAGAAAAGGGTCAAAATGAACAAGAGGAGGAAAAAAAAAGGAGTAAAGGATGAAAAGCAAGGCTTAAAAGAGGCAAGGTGGGAAATGGCAGGTTTATTACTCTGTTCTTTTAATGCTCATTAAGAAGAAGCTCTGTGGGGTGTTGAGGGAGGAAGAGAAGATAAAGAGGGCACCAAAAGCACCTCTTCCAGGCTGCATGGGTTGAGCAGCCACATGAAAAAAGACCATTTCCCCTTGAGCAGAGTAATTTCAAGCCTTGCTTGTTCAAAAGGCGAGGAAAAGCCAAGCCCTGGGTGGGTCAGACCAAAACACGCTTCCAAATGCAAAAAGATGGGGGAATTAAAAAAGAAAAGAAGTAAAAAGAAGAAAAGGGGAGGGGAGGGAAAGAAAAAAACACCAAAGAAAGGAAGAAAACAGCACGAGCTTGTTTCAAAAGAGGGTCTTACTAATTTCTTGCCCGGTGTGTCGCCCAAGGCTGCGACAATGGCAAAGTACTGAATGACCCGCTTGGTGTTTACAGTCTTACCAGCACCAGATTCTCCGCTTAGAGCAACAGAAATACACAGATCAAGGGCATGAGGCAAAGAACAGGCAAAACTTCAAACAGAGACCCTGCCACCCTGCTCATTGCGCTAGGGAGGAGAAGCAGAGGCTCGGAGGGGTGGCACTGTCAACCCCCTCCAGCCTGGGGGTGTACGTGCTTGTCTTTGGGGCTTATCTTAGGAGCGAAACCCAGCTCCATCCTTGCCGTGTCCCCCTGCGAGGTGCCGGGGGGGTCAGCTGCCCGCTGCAGCTATGGCAGGAGGTGCTGGCACCCTCCAAGGCTGTACAGCCCCAGCCCCGGGGCTTCAGCTGTCCGGGATCAGGCAGGACCCAGGTCTGCTGCTCCTGCTTGGGTGGTTTCAGCACGTTCTGCTTTGTTGGGGGGTCTTGGAGGCCACCACACCGGGTGGATCCTGCACCAGGCACAGCCGGCGGGCTGGCTGAGCTCATCTCTATAGTTAGCTGCTCTCCCATTGTAATCCCAGATCACAAAGACCCCGGGGGGGGGACCACCGGACACGCGCCAAGCATCTCTCCACAGCCCCTGCCTTTCCTAATTAGGCTATGGCCAAGGCTAAAAATGTCCATGGCTCCTGGCAGAGGCATAGGGTCCTTTAGAGTCCTTTATATAGCCCTTATCTATATGTCACTTGAAATCAACCTGGCCTACTCCCTCCCACATTACCCTCCTCCCTCACCACCACCCCTCTGGCCACTGCTGCCACCATCTCCCTGTGGCTTTGGCCACCATCTCCCTGTGGCTTTGGCCTCCATCTCTCCTTCCCCCTCGCTCCTCGGAGGCAGTTGGGGTGTCCCATGGCAGCTTTGGGGTGCAGGGGAGCCTGCTTGTCACCTCACATGGTGGCTACGTGTGAGGTCGGGTGGGAAGGGATGGAGAGCTGGCAGCTGCCAGGACAGGATGGAATGGGATGGGGAGACATAGCTGGGGGGCTCCCCTGGGGAACAAGGTGCTGCCCAGGCACCTCACATCAGGCTGGGCAGGGCAAGGGCATGGAGGGGCACTTACGTGATGAGCATGGACTGGTTTTCACGGTCTGGAAGAGAAGGAGGAGGCATTAGGACAGTGCCACCCACTTCACCCCCAACCCCAAAAGCACAGACCCCCCAGGATGAGGGTCCCCAAAGTGAGGGCTTACTGCGCAGCATGTCATTGTAGGCATTGTCGGCGATGGAGTAGATGTGCGGGGGAGCCTCGGTGCGCCGCTTGCCCTTGTAGGCTGCCACCACCGGCGCCGTGTAGACGGGCAGCCACTTGTAGGGGTTGATGGTAACACAGAAGAGCCCTGAGTAGGTCTGAAAAGGGAAAGGAGGCGGGTGAGGGATGGGGGTGTCCCAATGTTCCTTCATCTCCCCACCCCACGGGGTGACCCCCCGTCTGCCGAGTGCCAGTGGCTTACATAGATCATCCAGTGGGAGTAGCGGCGCTTCAGGTTGTAGAGCACAGAGGCCTCGTTGAGGTGCGTCAGCATGGCCATGTCCTCAATCATGTCGAACTTGGGGGGGTTCATGGGCTGCAGCTCATCCTCCTTCACCACCCGCGTCTGCCAGAGGAGGGGGACATGTCAGATGGACCCCAGTGAACACCCTCTAAACCTGCTCGGTGGACGGACATGACATCCCCATGCTGGGGGCAACCCTGACCCCATGCCTGCTGTGCTCCAGTGTGGGGTGCTGGGGTTACCAGAGCCCCCGCCACAAAGCCCTGTTGGGACAAGCAAGCCCCAGACCTCCTCCCTCCCAGGGAGATGGGCTGTAGCTGAGCCCAACAGAGGGGATCCAAGTCGGGGGACACCAAGATGTCACCCCACAACGTGCTCAACACCTCTGTCTTGTGCTCTTCTTCACAGCCTAAAACCCTCCAGGAAACATGGACTATTGCTCAGAGAGATCCCTGGCTGTCTGGGCAAACAGCAGAAGCCTGCACTCCATCACTGATAACTGTGTTTGTTTAACCCCGGGAAGCCAAGCACTGGGAAACTCTCATGTTACGAATCCAGCCTGAATGGAAGAAGCTGCATTTAGCAAATGGTCTTGTTAATAAAGATGAAATGAAACCTTTCAAAGAGTTTTTTACAGGTGGATATGAAGTGTGTGGTGTTAGGAGGTGTTAGGTGTTGGAAGCAGGAGCTGGAAATGCTGATCCAGGGAAAGCAGATACACTTTCAAATGTTGGAAATCTACAACAATGTTAAGCAAGAGAGTTTCAAGAGGGAACAGCAGAAGAGGTTTGGAAGCTGCATTGTTGGCAGAAGCTGCTTTGTCGGCAGAAGCTGAAGATCTTATAAACATCAGAATAATCTTTTAAAATTTATACCCTCTCCCCAGTAAACTTTATCTTGGGGAGGGCAGATTTCTTTACTTTTTTCCCCCCCAGTTTCAGACAAAAAAGTTTCCAAAGCCTTGACACTTCCCACAGACAGTTACATGTATTTCTTCTAAATCCAGCACTTCTCAGTGCCACGCTGACCAGCTGAGGAATAGCAATAATAAAGTCTGTGATTTACTGCCTGGGCAGGTCCTTGTGATTCTTTCCCAGTGTTACACCAGTCAGAGTCTCTGCACTCTCATGAAGTTGCGGGGCCATAAGACTCCCATAGTCAAGCCAGGAATAGTCATTATTCCATTTGCAGCTATTTGTACTGGATATTATGTTGACAAATCCCAACTGATTCTTGTTTGCTTATTATCCTGATAAATACCAGCTGATCCTGCCTTGCTTTGCCTCCCTCCCGCTGCTGGCAGGCTGGAGCCTCACCATGAGGCATAGCTGGTGCTGCCCCTTGCCCAGCGCCTGTTCTCCCAACAGCACCACAATCCAGTGCAAATCCTGGCTAAAACAAGCAGGAATTGGCCAACTGGCCCCTTACCTCTGGTTTGAACCTCGGAGATGAGCCGGGCTGTGCTGGGGCAGCCTTTCCTCCCACAGCCCAGAGCTGTGCTGGGCCAGGGCTGTCCCCTTGGGTCTGCCCCGCACAGGAACAGTGATAGAAAGCCAGTGCTCCATGGGGGGATGCTGAGCTGCTGCCACTCTTGGCGGGTCATTGGTGTCCTGACACCGCATCCCCTCGGGGCACCACTGATCACCCGGGTTATCAGCAGGAGCTCAGCTAGTTTCAGACGTGAGCTTGTCACATATATCCCCCCCTCCACACCCACTTGCTCTCCCTTGGTAAATGAAAGGTATTTTGCTTACTTCCTTATTTTTGGTTTCCACAGTGACTTTGCCACCAGTGCTTTCTTTGATTTCCACTTCAATATAAGCTTCTTTCTCATCCGGGATCCAAGCACGCTTCTTTCCTGGAGAAGGAGAGAGGAGAAGATAGGAGAGGTAAAGAAAGGAAAGGAAAGGGAAAGGAAAGGAAAGGAAAGGAAAGGAAAGGAAAGGAAAGGAAAGGAAAGGAAAGGAAAGGAAAGGATAACACACAAAGCAGGTTGAAATGTAGGAAACTGTTTGACATTGTCAATTGAAAGCCACATGAATGCAGTCAGATAACATGGAAGAACAGTGATTATTCCTTCCTGCATTCTATGTCATAGGAGCTGGGGTTTCTTTGCCTCCTTGATGTTTGGCAGCTGCTTATTTTGCCAGGGTCAACTTTTAGCCTGACACAAGTCTGCTGCTCTCATGTGCTTGCACTCAGAGCATCGTGAAAAAAGGACGGTGAGAGGAAGCAAAACTCTCCTCTTTTGCTGAACCAAGAGGAGCAAGTTGGGCCCTGGAGCCCGAGCCGCAGTACAGCGGGGTGGCTGGGACAGTGCAGACACCTCCAAACTGGAGCTGGAGAAGGCTTTGACCTCCCTCAGCCCATCTCCCTCAAGGGCCACCTCTGCAAACAAGGGGAAAGTCAAAAACCTGCTTTCCCTCCTTCTGAGATCTTCCTCCAGGGCAGTGAGGACAATTCTGTAATGCCTGCTCCATGAGGAGCAGCACTGGGAAGGGGATGGGGACGGTCTCCAAAGAGAGCCATGGCCAAGGGGCTGGCATGGGGCACACACATGGGGCTGTGCCGAGAGCTGCCTCAGGGTCTTACCATCGAAGGGGATTGTCTGAAGCTTCAGCTGCTCTGTGTAGCTCTTCCGGAGGTACTCAGCAGCCTCCCCAAACTCGCTCATGTCCAGCATAGACATCTTGCCTTGCTGGAGGAAGACCTGGCAGCAGTGAAGGAAGAGTGCAGGTATACCCGAACACTGCAAGGAGGGAAAGGGTAGTGAGTCAGTGCATGGGGAAAGCACCCACCACTGGGCTGATTAATAAGAGCAACATGCTCACCAAATGAGCTTTTAACTTTAGAGAGCCAACAGCGACAACAATAGTAGCTAATAATAACCATAATAACAAGGCAATTACCAAACACTTTCCCTTCTGCTGCTATCCAGCCCCAGCTTGGTGAGCCAGCACCGCTTTGGTGTCAAAAAGATCATTCACATTATAGGTGCCACCAGAGATTGTCAACAACACCCCTTTACTTGATAAACTCAGCTCAAGCTTGTTCCAACTTTACAGACCTGCTGGAGCCCTGGTACCCTGCACAAAACCTCTGCAAACACCCGCATCTGCTGGAAGATAAAAGCAAGGCTGGAGGTATTATCCCTGGGAAGACCCCTTCTAGAGGATCGCCAAGAGAGCTGCTTGGAGAAGATGGTGCTTTCCAATATCCATCTACTGCAGTATGTCACAGCGGAGCTCCGGGACACCGCAGCGATCACAACCACAGCCACTGGTGGTAGCCAGCAGCTTGGCAAAGCACACAGCCCTTAGCAAAAGTGCTCCTGGTGCAGGTCTGTCCCACCCTCCCCTGCACCACCGCAGTCAGCCCCTGTCCTCCAGGATCATCCACCCTGCAGAGGTGAAGCGGGTTAGTAGCAGAGGACAAGCATGCAACACAGACATGCTCTTTCTTACTAACCTTGGTGATAGGACTGAGTGGCTGAGTGCGTGCAGTAAAGCCCCTTTTTATTGTGTCTGTCAAGGTCAGAGTGGGAAAAGATATGTCAGAAATTCCCATGTGTCATGTCCACACAGCTCCATTGGTGCTGCTGTCCCACTGCCCAGAGAGACACAAAAGGCAAACCTCGCTTTTATCTCTCTGCAAGTGCAGCCTGGTTATTTTTATTCCTGTATTGTCAGGCAAGTACAAAGGCAGAGACTCCAGCTCGGGAAGGCAGCGCAGATCTCCCAGCCTGCCCATGCTGCCTGCTTGGTGGGGAGACCCCATTCCCTCCTGAGCATTCCCTCCTGCTTCTTCCCCACACCCTGCCAGGGGAGCTGCTGCCTGGTGGGATGTGTGTGGCCACTGGCTTTCCAAGCTGGAGCATCCCAACCTCTTGTTCAGCTCCAGTTCAGCCTTTCCCTGGACCTCAGATTGCCCAGGACCTCAGGGCTTGGCCTCTGCTACCCCACTGTCATCTTCTCAAAGGGTTTGGCTTGTTCCTGAGGCCATTGCCCATTTAACACCAACCACCACAAACACCAGAATTGGCTTTTCTAGTTACATGTGTGAAACTCAGTTTTGCCAGAGGGGCCTGATGCTCCCTGAGCTGCAGTGGCCTGTGGGCAGCCCCCAAGGCAGGCTCGAGCCCCCCCCCCTC